TAGATATGAAGTGATATCTCATTGAGGTTTTGATATACATTTCCCTAATGATTAATGATGTTGAACATTTTTTCATGTGCTTATTGGCTATTTGTACATATTCTTTGGAGAAATATCTATTCAAGTCCTTTTTCCATTTTTGAAATTGGGTTGTTTGTCTTTTAGTTGTTGAGTGTAGGAATTCTTTATATATTCTGGATATTTAGCCCTTATCAAATGATTTGCAAATAATTTCTCCCATTCTGTAGGTTGTTTTTTCAACTTTTTGATAATGCCTTTTGATGCACAAAAGCTTTTAATTTTGATGAAGTCCAATTTATCTCTATTTTTCTTTAGTTTGTGCTTTTGCTGTTGAATCTATGAATCCATTCTCAAATTCACGATCATAAAGATTTTCCCTGTGTTTTTCTAAGATATTTATGGTGTTCTTATATTTAAGTTATAAATCCGTTTTGAATTAATATTTGCATTTGCTGTGAGGTAGGGATCCAATTTCATTTTTTTGCATGTGGAAATCCAGTTGTCCCAGAATCATACATTGAAAAGACTGTTCCTTCCCCATCGAATGAACTTGGCACTCTTGTCTAAAATCAGTTGGCCATGGATGTATGAGTTTATTTCTGGACTTTCAATTCTACTCCATTGGTCTATATGTCTATCCTTATGCCAGTACCACACTCTTGATTACTGTGCCTTTGTAGTAAGTTTTAATATTGGGGAAATGTGAATCCTCTGACTTTGTTATTTTATCAAGATTGTTTTGGCTGGTCAGAATCCCTTGTAATTTCATATGAAGTTGATGATTGGCTTTTGCTTTTCTGAAAAAAAAAAGGCTATTGGAATTTTGATAGGGATTTCTTTGAATCTATTGATCACTTTGAGTAGCATAGGTATCTGGTCTTTCTATCCATGGACATGGGATATATTTCCACTTATTTATGTCATCTTTTATTTCCTTCAGCAGTATTTTGTGGTTTTCAGTGTATAAATCTTTTATATCCTTAGTTAAATTTATTTCTAAGTATTTTATCTTAGATGCTATTGTGAGTGGTACTGTTTTCTTAATTTCCCTTTCTACATTGCAGGTGTGTAAAAATACAACTGATTACTTTTTGGTTTTGATCTCATACCATACAACCTCACTGGATTTTAGATCTAGTAGCTTTCTTGTTGATTATGTGGGATTTTCTGCATACAGAATCATGTCATCTATGAATAGAGATAGCTTTACTTCATGCTTTCCAACTTGGATGCCTTAGTTTTCTTTGTCTAAGTGCTCTAGTAGTACAATGGTGAATAGCAATGGTGAAATTAGGTATCCTTGTCTTGTTCTAACACCTGCCTTTTGAGTTGTTTTGCTGCTCATTACTCTTTGCCTTGGTTTCAGTAAACTTGAAGGGATGGATGGGAGTATTACAAATTTCTCTAACTTATGTTGAGCCCAGAAAGGCATTCAAGTCTCTTAGCAGAAGGTAGGTGTTTTGTAGTGAAAAGATCTTTTACATTATCTAGTCTGGAAGCAACACAAGATGACATTTTGAAAAACTCTGATGTAGAAAATGGCAGATAAGTTCTCATGGCTCAGCCTGATGGCCCTCTCTCCATCTCACCCAGAATAATATAAACAAGCTGTGTTATCATGATAGAAGCTGAGTCCTCCCTCAAATCTGGAAGTTAATCAAACTTATAGGGGTCAGAAATGTCTCTGTGTGTTGCAGAGTCTGGATTGGAGTATCTGGGGAAACTGGCTTGAAGGATGGGCAATAAATAGATCTTGTATCCCACATATTAACCAAGTTTGTTCCATTTTTCAACCAGGTGTCTACCATAGTGTCCTATCATGTGACATCTTGAAAATGTGTAATCAGTTGCTAGGGAATTTACTCTCATGAGCAGGAATTATACTGTGCACCTGTGTATGTGTGTGTGTGTGTGTGAGAGAGAGAGAGAGAGAGAGAGAGAGAGAGAGAAAGACAGAATGAGATATGGGGGAGACATATTTTGGCTCTTCCCCTCTCTTCCCCTGCTTGTTCTTTTTCTTGGAGCCTCATCACCACACCTTACTCTCTGGCTCTCTGGGGACATCCCTCCCTTAGATCCTGTGGGCCCAGGTGTGCGGAGGCGGCTGTGCTTCCACCTGCCCAATGAGCTGTTGAGCTACATGACCTCCCGCCAATGCCTGGGGGTGACGTTGCCCAGCTACAGTTGCTGAGGGAACCTCAAGTTAGAATCTTTTCACTTTAGGGTGTGTAGAGTCTCAATCACTCCAGTGAATTAATGTTGGTTTCCCCTGGCTAAATGTGAAACCTGTATAAGTGAGTGTCTGCTTCTGGGATGATTGAAATTAGAGCATTCCTTGGATACTGTCAATCACCCCTCCCTCCCTCTCTGCTGAGTGCGCTCAGGCTGCAGAGCCCAAGTGGGAGTCATGAAGGAAATAAAGAGAAATGATCTGCAGCCCTCTTAGAAGCCCCTATCAGGTGGCAGGTACATCCAGAGAGGTCCTCTGGCCTGGTGGTGAAATTAGTCCCCACTCACAATGGAAGGCACATAGCCCCTAGCCTAAGAAAGCTCCTGCTGTGATGGGGAAGATCTAGGTCCTGTTTGAAGTAAGCTTCTAGTCTGATGGGAGAGATCTAGTCCCTTTCCTGGAGCACCTCTGGTCTGAAGGGGAAGGCACCCTCAACTGGGAGATGGAAAATGTAATGGAACCATTGTGTCCTCAGATATCCTATTGGATAGGATTAGGCTAGCCGGGGGTGACTCTTGACAGGAGAGCCTCTGGGACACATGCTGACTGGCTTTCTTACCAATGAGGACTACGAATCCTAGCTGAACCCTCACTATCCCTGGGAAATTCTGACCACTTATTCCTGCCCTCCTGTCAAGGCTATTCTAAGTTTTCTCTGTTCTCGACCAGCCCTGCAACCCCTCTCTTGACTCCTCTATTGAAATTTTAAACATATAGAAAATTGGATAGAATTTTGAGTACTCACAAGTGAGTACTCAGCATTTAGATTCTACAGTTGTCAACATTTTGCTGTATCTCTTCCATCAAACACCTATCCACAATATCTAGCCTTCAATACAGCTTATCTCTGGTATATTTTAAAGCAAGATGCAGACCATCAGTGTATTTCACTCCAAACACTTCGGCATGCATATCATTAAGTAGAATTCAATATTTGCTTGTGGTTTTTTTTGTGTGCAAGTGTATGGGGGAGGGGGTGTTAAATTTACATCAATGAAATGGTGAAATGTACACATTGTAAGTGTATTCTTCAAGATTTCACAAATGCTTACACGTGTGAAACCCAAATCCTTATCGAGACATGGAACATTTCTATCACTTTCTCTCAGGAAGTCGACTCATTTCCCTTTCCAGTCAATCATCAGAAGCAATCCATTTTCATTTTTTTAAAAAAACCTTTCTAGAATTTCACATAAATGGAGTCATCATGTTTTGGGGATTCATTCATTTTGTTGCATGTGTCAGTACTGTCTTTTTCTTTTTTACTACCAAGTAGTGGTTGCAATTGGTTTATCCATTTTCCTGTTCATGGACAGTTTATTTGGGGCTGTTTTCAATTAGGGGCTACTGTGAGTAAAGCTACTATGAAGATTCTTGCACACGTCTTTTTGTGGACATATATCTTCCTATCTTTTGGGTAAATACCTGGAAGTGGAATTGCTGGGTCACAAGGTAGGCCTGCATTCAGTACACCTGCCTTACTGTGAAATGTCTGTTCATATATTTGTCCTTCTCTTTACTAGGTTGATTGTGTTTTTCATTATTGCATTGTGATTCTTTATATATACTTGATACAAGTCCTTTAACAGAATGTTTTGCAAATA